TTGAACACAAAAGAAAATATTTTGAAGAATGTTGGTAACCAAACACTTGACGGTAGCCATTGACATCTATAGTATGGAAAAAAATACTATGAAAGTCAATGGCTACCATCAACTTGGGGGTGAGTAAATAATGAAAGAATTTTCATTTTTGAGTGAACTATGCCTTGACATGATTTTCTTTCTGTCATCCACTCACTCAAGGCTAATTTAGCTTTAGAGCTGCTGAAGCTGGAAAGAGCCAGTGCAGACGTCACTCACACTCATTACCTCAGTAAGAGTTGTAAATGGAATCATGCACATTTGGTTCACAAAATTGATATACTAGAAGACTCTAATTTTACTAATGACTGTTTCGTTGTAAGGTCAAAGGTATGCTTCCTTGCAACAGTTCACATCCCACCTTCAGGAAGTGTTGCGAGAACAGACAGTCCTACAAGAGAGACTCACAAAGCCACTTTGTCAGCAGAACCTGCCCATTCATGCTGATCTTCACAGGTCAGATGCATTTAATGTGCCACTCAAAGAAAGTGGTTTTGTTTTTTTGTATTGAATTGCTAACAGTATTGATTACTGTATGTACAGATATGTGGTAGAGCTTATGGGGATGGTGGTGGAGTTCATTCAGAACTTGGAAGTGAAAATTAAGATGGTTCAAGCAATTCCAAAAACTGACAGTTATCGGAGTAATTTGGTAAGAGTGTGTATATATACAGTATATATGTTTTTTGATTAAACAACAAGAATATGCTCGTTAGAACTAAAATCATAGACATGTGGTGGTTAAATGTTCATATAAGTATGTGTTATGCTTTGAAACCAGTGTCTATATGTGATTTGCCTTTATTCTAGCAAACCTGTCATGTTTATAATGTAAATGCATATTCTAACGGTTATTTCTGTTACGCCTCCCCATCAGAACAGTGCCATAACTCAACTGCTGGCTCAGGGCACTGAAGTCGAAAACCTGTACAAGCAAGTTCTTAAGCGACGAGGCCATCTGCACACCAACATTAAAGACATGTCCAGTTGATAAAGAATTTCATAATATTCAAATATAAAATGACACCTACCATTTGTTCAGGATACTAGTGAATATTAAACGAATAAAAAATAACTAAAGCTCAATGACTACTTTTACAGTTTGTATACTGTATCTTCAAACTATATAACATTCATGTTTTGTTTCATATTGTCTCTATTTTGTGTACCTACTGGTTGCTGACACAGGCACATTAGAGAAAACCGATTTTGATTTGTTTTAATTCATGGATTACATGCGTATATACTGCAGCAATATGTAAATATTGAGACATGTTTAATTTTATGTGAGTTTTTTTCTTTTGTATTTTTATGTTAAATAATAATAAATAAATGTTCCACATTTGAAACCAATTGTAACCAGCATTATGTATTTTATGATTTGTGCACTACGTATACTTTCCTTTTGCTGATACATTAATATACCATCAGTGTGAAAAAAAGTAGTGAACAGCTATATATACCTGATTCATCAAAACAATTTTGGACGTTATTAGCCTGCTTGCTTGATCATCAGCAACTGCAGTGGATGATTTTAAGTGGAACAACTTAAAAGATTTGATTCTGGCTTTATAATTTTTGATATAGTATGACAAATGAAACCATAAATTCAGCACAATAATTTTTGCTCTTTGCTGCTTTCCCATCTCTTCCATTAAGAGCACTTTCTGTGTAATGATGTGTTTTGTACACAACAGCTCCACCTACAGAACAAGAAAGAAAGAGTAACTTGCAGTTAGTGTGATGTTCAGACATTCATTTCTAAAGCAGTGGGCCACAGGATGACTTAAAAGTATTTAAATGAATAAATTATTATTAATACATAAAAAAAAAAAACATAAAATCAAAATAAACAGGAAATAACCTGGAGCTTTATCTCATGAATCTTGCTTTCGTTTCCCTTCAGACTGTATCCATGCTTTTTCAGAAGACTTCCAATGTGCCTTAGTAAGAAATATGGTTAAAGTAACATTCAAAAAACAATTTTACTTTAATGATTTTCATGTTTTACTTATAATGATTGTGGCCTAATCCAAGTACACACCTCTACACCTCAGTGTTGGGTTCCAGTGCATCACACTCCTGTCGAAAAAATGCTGTAACTCTGGACCCTTTGCATTTAAAGTACTCAGGGCCTTACAGGCAGCAATGCGCACACTGGGCTCCTCCTCATGATGTACAGCCCACATCAGCAACTCTTGGAGAGCTGGGTTCGTCCAACCTATTTTCCCTAAAGCTTAATTTATATAATAATTCCTTAATGCAATAAAAAAATAGTAACATTAATTATTAGACACAAAATAACAGGACATTAACTGATTAAAGAAATAGCTCACCCAAAAATTAATGTTTGTTGAAATTTACTCATCCATGTTGTAGATTAGTTTGTTTCTCCATCAGAACAGATTTGGAGAAATTTAGCATTGCGTCACTTGTTCACCATTGGATCCTCTGCAGTGAATGGGTGCCGTCA